AACCGTTGCATGTTATCAACAACCTCTTTAATTGGTTTTCTTTTAATTTCTTTTAACTTAGGATAAATTTTTTCAGGATAAGTTCAAATCTCGTTAAAATAGATTTTATAGATGCAACTTAATCACTTTAGCTTCTATTTATTTGGCTTTCTCGGTGTTGTATCGTCACTTAATTATTGATTTGGATTTTAATAAAGAGCTTTTGGTAAGCATCGAGAAGAGTATTCTCAAAAACATTGTTCTGAGTCTGTTATACTTTGAACAAAATCCGAGAGAAGCTTAAATCCTCCTGAAGATTTTGATCTTTCTCTTGTTATAGCTTCCACTCCTTATCAAAAACAAACAAAATTTAATTGTTGTTACTGGTAATTGGTGAATGTAAAACGAACAACAAAGCATATTGTTTGTACACTATCGTTAATGACTGAAAAAAAAACAAAAAATATTAATATAGAAGAAGAAAAAAAAACAAATGTTTTGCGACAAGTGACAAGTAGTGACAACTCATTTGTAAAACGTGAATTTAAGTTACAAATTAGAAGTTCATATAAAAAAAATAATATACTATACAAAATTAACAATTTCTATAGCAGTAAATTAAAGAATAAAATCATTTTATTTTAAATCACACTTGTCACTTGAACAAACTTGTCATTTACTTTTGAGCAAAAAAAAAAAAACTTGTCATTTACTTACTGTTACTCAATTTTTTATCATTCTCTTGAAATACATTTTTGTAAATCAAACATCATCCACAATAGACGGGTTTTTCTATTTATAACGGACAATATTTTATCATTTATGATCCTACAAAAATATTAGTAAATTTCTTAACTTTTGGATTCATATATTCCAATTTTTTTTGGAGTTTAAAAATCTAGCAAATAATACGCTGAATCACCGACATTATACGTAATGGGAAGAAAAAAAAACAATTTGTTTAATTGTATGGGGAATTGCGTCGTATTTATGGGGGATATATGGGGCAATTTTATGGTTTGGTTGAGTTCATAGCATCTTTAGGCATGATAACATGCCGGGGTTTGTGATTTTGTATTTGCCAAAGGAAGTAAGTTTTGATTTCGTCATTAAGATAGTGTAATGAATACGTATCAAATTTCGAAAAAATAGTACTATATTACAAATTTACAATTTCAGATGGAGTTTAAGGATTAGCATCCACTGTTTAATATATTACACTGCAGTTGTCTAACTTTTAATCAATTAGTGCAATGTGGAGAAATTGGAGGAAGGTATAAATCGAGTGTGAGTTGAATTGGGGCCTCTAAGCTATTAGTGCAACCAACATTACTTTCATTAAGGGAGACAGCTAAACAGAACAAAAGTAAGATAATAGTTTTTGAAATAGAATGATTACAGTACACATTTAAATATCATTATAAGAAACTTGAGTTTTTTTAACATTGGGCCATCATTGTTGGCAAAAATACGAAAGAAAGAAAAAAAAAAAGAACATTGGCCCATCATTTTCATAGACTTATAATGGACTAATCATTGCTTCTGTTCTTAATCTACAATCAATTATTAGAAAAATCGCAAAGTAGTGAAAGCAAAAGACTAGAGCTGGTGACGAGAGTTTAGAGATTTGGTAAGTTGATTATTCAGTTGTTACATCAAAGTTAGGTAGACGGATGGATCACAATTTACTTTCGTCTAATTAATTCAGCCAACATCTAATGTTTCTAAGTGATATATATATGTAAACTATATAAAATAGTTAGTCATTCCCGGAAAATTATAAGATATATCATATAAAGCAATTAGTGCATATAAAGATATTTTATCAGCTTGATCATTTGACAAAATTGAAGATATATAGACAACATTAAATGATGCAAACATATTTTCAAATTTCAAAGAGCCTAGATCCACTAGTGATTGTGAAGATTGGCTCAGTTTCAAGAGAGATTAAGAGCATCAGCATTAGAGAGTTGAGAAGAGAAACTCTTAAAATAAATTTATTATTAATTTTTTTTTTTTAAAGAAATAGAGAACTGATTCTAAGTATCAGTCTTGCTACATCATTTTTTTTCTTTTCTTTTTCTTTTTTCTTTTTTCTTTAGAACTTACCTAAATCTCTGCATTGTTGCAGATGCTCTAAGTGATAAAAAAGTTTTATTTAACAGTGATCACCTGATACAAGGATTAATAAGTTGGAAAGCGCCAGACGGAATAGAACTTATAAATACATAAAAGTACTAAACCAGGTTGGTTAAGTGGTCTTAATTAAGTTGGTTGGAGCTTAACCATCACGTTTTGATGGTTAGATGAGCTTTGTTAATTATGTATCCACTGAGAAACTAAGTAACATAACAAAAAGCTCGTTGAGCTCATTCGAACATCATCTTCATTCACCTTGTAATAGTTTTTTATTTCTTAACTCTTCTTCTTTTATTTACTATAGAAAAATCGTAATTGTAAATTTTTTGGTACCATCTTTACCGAAATGTATTTGGGACTATTTTGAATTCAAGAAACTCGTAAATAAAATATGTATGTTGTTCTTGATTTGTTTGACAAACGAGAAGCGTGAAAGCTGTGAGTTTTTCCTTCCTGTGTTCAATAGTAGATTATTCAATATTATGATATCTAAAATTTACTTAAACTATAGCCAAGTTGTGTTGCTCTGATAGACTGGTACACATCCTACTAGCAAAACCCCCCAAAAAAAGGAAATAAAGATTGTTTCAAGCAAAACCCAAAAAACAGGAAATAAAGATTGTTTCAATCATGAATGGGCTTCTTAGGATTGATCAAATCCCAATAAAGATTGGGCCTGGAATACTTTATATTACCTGCCTAATCTTTCTCTTCCACTAAATTTCATATGTTTTATAATTGGAATTGTTGTTTCCAGTTAAACTAGTGGCCATTTAAAAAAAAAAAAAACATATTTAGGTTATGATGCTAGTGATTGGTTATTGACTATAAATAAAGAGTCAAATATAAATGATTAATGAATTTAATAAAAGTCAACCTCAGAAATTTTTGGCCACTCAATCTCTTTCTAAATTGGTATTTACTAAAATACAAAAAAGAAAACAAAAAAGATATCGCAAAAGACAAGAAACTTTTGGAGTGGAGTTGGACTCGGATTAAAAGGGGTGAATGCCTGAAAAAATAATTAGCGCACCAAGGAATGATAATAAATTAATTAACAGGCGTGATTATTGATTAATACTTTAAATTATCCTTTTTAAAAACAAAAGTTAAGGCCAATGTGGAATCGAACTCTTTTTGCTAGGTTTCGTGTCACCAAACAAGTAAGCACCAGATTTTAATTTAAGATATAAGTCAATATTAAATGATAAATGGTGACTGGTAAAAGATTGTTTTTTTTTTTAAACTGAAACCCAAGAAACATAAGTCTTGACCATTCGTTGTGGTTAAGATTTTTATTTGAATGTATTGTTTATATAACCAACTAATATACGAGCACGAGATCAAAATTCAAGATAACTGAAAATTATTACCCACACCAAGACCGATATCGATGCCCCTTGTTAGGTGATTTGAAACCTCACAAAATATCAATTTAATATTCCGTATTGCCCCTTACTTTTGGTTACCCAAAGAAATAAAAAGATAATAACGTATAAATCAATAATCACGCTTGCATATTTAATTAACATATCCCAGTTAATTTAAATTTATTTTTGGCATCATCTGTCCACTTTTCATAATAATTGGACACACAAAAAAGCAATTAAAAACAATAAACCCTATTGCTCCTTCTACACCGTCCTCCTTCGCCCTAGGTTTTTTGTTTGTTCTTAGTTAGTATGAGAAGCTTAAGCCTTAACAATGATAACATGCATGAGGAAAACTATATGTGATCGTAAATACTGTCTTAATTTTTTCATCATGTGTATGTCATCTTAGATTCCTTCAGTTTTATGCAAAATACAGTATTATGTGTTTTTAGCTTATAATTATCGGAAATGTTATCGATCAAATTTTTTTTCAATAAACTTTTGGTCGGCAAACCAACATCTTTATTAAAGCAAGAGAGCAAAAGAATAGAGTTGGTCAAAAACCAATGTAGCAAAGGAACCAGCCAAATAATTGGCTTCTCTCAAAACTTAAATGCAAATACATGAAAAAAGGACGAAAGAAACATGTTTATAGGTTTGTGGTTTATAGGTTTGGCCAAATACCAAGCCACATTTCGCATATAGCTTTTGAGAGTGTGTCTCTCTTCGAGAAAAAAACATGTTTAATTTGGATTTTGGAATACTAGTTGGTTCCAAACTGGTAATAAAAACGAGGTTTTAATGTTAAGTTACATGTACTTCCAACCAAAACTAATTGACAATGAATGGATTGGCATATTCTTCTTATATATTAGGTAGAATTCTTTCTAATTTCTGATGTGGGATATTATTCATAATACGCCTCCTCGAAATGATGACTATTTTTGCCATTGATCTCGGTTATGTTTGGACAAAGATCGACAGACTATCTTTAGGTCACATATTGATTATTGATCGGGTTAGATTGTTTAGATTAGACTCTGATATCATGTTAAGTTACATAAGCTTTCAACTCACAACCAATTGACAATGAATGGATTAGTCCATACTACTTATATATTAGTTAGGATCTCTTGCAACTTCCAATCGATATGGATATTATCCCTAATACATGAAACATAAAATCTCTCGATCAGTATAATCTCCAAATCTGCATTTAGACATTACATAAAATCTACCGTGACTGAATAAATAAGTAATGAAGTTTTATTCTTCTAACTTAAGAGTGGCTAATAAAACTACAACAATTTCACTACTATCAAGTGGTTTTCATTTGAAAACTAGTTGTGTTTCTACATGTCATCTAAACAAAAATTTGATTTTTACAATATACATTTTAGCTTCTATAGAGCGTTAGGTCATGATAATATATTTTGTGGTCGCTCTAGTTAACAAAAAACAAATTAAAGCCCGATAATCTAGGGAAAAAAATGTGATAAGTTCATGTAGAGGTCAAACACATCTTCAATTGACGTACTTTCTTACGCAGACCGCATATAACACATCTTCGGTGGCTTAAAGACATTTCTATAAATCTCTATATATCTAATACTAAATGTAACTTAGTGGACATACCCCACTTGCATATAAAATTGTCACCACCACCGATCGTATCATATACACTTTATATTCTCTAATTCATATATCCTCTAGACTCTTAACCAAACAAAAAGAAGGAGCAAACAAAAGAAAGTTCAAAGAAAGGAAAAATTATGATAAGGGAAGAATGTACTCCAAGTTCATCGTGGTGGGAAGATGTTCAACATCATCATAATGATCATGCAAACTCCATTAGTTCGACGTCGTTTTACCATAAGAATAGTACTAATAACTCGAACGCAAACGCAAGCTGTGAAGGAGACAATCTCTCGATCTCGACCGTAAACGCTGCAAATCGTTTTGACCTAACCGCTCAATCCTCCAATCATCACTCTCTCTCGGCTCCGAATCAGCATGTTTCCTCCTCCGATGAGTTGCTACGAGACCATGTCGCCTCTTCTCATAATCAGCTATGGAGTCTTGCCTTCTCGTAAGTATCCATACTTTTGTTCCTTTTCTCTACTTGCGTATGAGGTATTCTTCTTTAGTTCTGTGTTCTTGCTTGCAACTCACTTAGCGGTTATAGATTCAAAGTTTAGTTTTTAGCTCTACGCACCACCCCATAGTGATATCGTCTAGTTGGTCAATTGCTATGATTTTTTTTTTTTAATATGATAAAAAAAAATTGGATAAAAAGGTTGATGCTTTCAAACCTGAAAAATAAAATAAAAAACATTAGAAACAAAAGAGGGGTCTAAAAGTTGGTTTACAAAAGTAAATTAGTAGCTCTTTTGAATTATTGTTCCCCAATAAATGATTTAACGTTGTCGTAAAAAAAAAAATGATTTAACGTTTGATTGGTGAGGGTATGCCTATAATTTTGCACTTATGATTAGCTTTTGTTATTGGCCACTCGAAAATGTACTTTATTCTATTTAATTGAAAATTATACTAGTACATTTTTTAAATTATTTGTTTAAGAAAAAAATAATTCTTGAAACACTAAATTGAAGTGTTTGTAATTGTAATTATGGGGAAATAAAAAAACAATCGAGCCATTGATATTTACCTTTTTTTTTTTTGTTCAAAGCCATTGATATTTACCTTAATTTTTGTAAATATCATATATTTATACAGAGACATTGATTATATAAATGGACAGGCCTGGTAGAAGCTTAGGAGCTCAAATGATGAGTCATAATCATCAACATCATCACATAACATCTTCAAGAAATTCATCAACAACATCAGAATTACCTTTCGAGCCAGCCTGCGATAACGGTAACGGTAACGGTTGGATCTACGAAACAAACCAAGTTAGGTACGATCAAAATAGTGAACAAAGGCTGTCAAAGTTAACGGATCTAGTAGGCAAACACTGGTCGCTTGCACCGCCGAATAATCCCGACATGAACCACAACCTTCATCATCACTTTGATCAGACAAACGAGGACGTTTCTATGTATAGACAAGCGTTGGAAGTGAAAAACGAGGAAGATCTTTGTTACAATAATGGCTTAAGTAGTGGTGTTTCGTTGTTTCACGATGCTATAGAAAGTTCTAGAAGTTTCCTTGATATAAGGTTAAGTAGGCCATTAACGGATATTAATCCGTCGTTTAAGCCATGCTTTAAGGCCGTAAACGTACCAGAGTTCAACAAGAAAGAGCATCAAACGGCATCACTGGTACGTATACGCTATCAATTCTCTTTATATCATCAAATATGTGATTTTCTCTCGTAATTTTATTTTATCCACTAACAATAGTATATTTAAATTTACCAATTCGCTAAAAACGTTGCAGTTACGATCGATTTAACTTTGATATTTCAGTTGCATCCTTAACCTTAGTAATGGATGTTACTACGGATATAAAATTTTCTTCACAGAAATTTGTGGCAAAACCTACTATATTTTGAAATATACTCTATTAAAATTCTAGGAAAGCAATTTTTAGTTTTAGAAGAATTTAAGCTTAAAGATCAAATATAATACCATTTAAACTTTTAGGAATCATTTTCAAACGTAAAGTTTGTGGTATTTGGAACTTTTTCATGGTTAACTTTTTTTCTTTTTGCTGCTTTTTATTAGTATAAAAGGGATTAAATTCACCTTTTATTATTATTATTTCCTCGCATACCGCATTTAACATTTCGTTATTCCACCATGCATTATGCTAAATTGCCAATTAGAGTCTACGCACCGACGCTAAACACGAGCTTGGAAGCTATTTTTGCAGGCAACGGTGAGACTGGGAACAACAAACGCCGGCAAGAAGAAAAGATCTGATGAAGTTTCCGATGAGGTCTCCAAGAAGGCCAAGTGCGGCGGGGGCTCTGCACTCTCTCCGGAGAAGGTAATCTCTCAATAATAGTAGTAATTATGTTTATGTGTGGACCTATAAGTACGTATGTATAGATTTTTCTTTACTGCCAAAAGAATAGTGAGTTTTTTAGGCTAACTTAAAAAACAGGTAGATCTACTTCAAGAGTAAAACTATACTCATATATATACGTTGGCAAACACTGTCTTTGAGGATTAATTTTCTTTTATAAAAATCTTTAAATGTACTGTTAGATTGAATTTTTTTATAAACAGTAATTATTTTTCTCTACAATTTTTGCCAAAAATATAGAACACTGGTTATTTTATGGCAAACAATTTTTGAATGAAACTATATTGGTTTAATATATATATGAAATACTTTACATTTTTTTTTGGCAAAATAAATGGCAGGAATTACCGAAAGCCAAGCTTCGAGACAAGATCACGACTCTACAGCAAATTGTGTCTCCCTTTGGAAAGGTACAACAAAAAGGACCGTATTCATCTTTTCTTTGTAGTTATTATTTTCTTATTTTCTTAGATATGTATATCTATTTCATTTAAGGTTCCTTTTAATAATACGGAAGAAAATTAAATATTTGGTTTGAAAACCTTTCAGACGGATACTGCTTCTGTGCTTCAAGAGGCCATCACTTACATAAATTTTTATCAAGAGCAAGTAAAGGTAAAATTCTTTATACACGGTAAAAATTACGAACACAATGATTGTTTCAGACATACACAAGCCCATAATTAATACTTTGGTTCGTGATTTTTACGATAATGCAGCTGCTAAGCACTCCTTATATGAAGAACTCATCAATCAAGGTAACGTTTTAAGGAGAAAAAAATGTATTTTTGAATATTATTTTCTTTAATTATTTTGCTAGTGACGTTTTACAAAAGGCAATCTATATAATCTTAGGATCCATGGGGAGGATGGGACAGGGAAGATCACAACAAAAGAGGACCAAGACATCTCGACCTAAAGAGTAGAGGGCTTTGCTTGGTTCCTATTTCTTGCACCCCAATTGCATACCGCGATAACAGTGCAACTGACTACTGGAGTCCTTCGTATAGAGGTTCTTTGTATCGTTGATTATGATCAAAATCAACTGGTATAGATAGAAACTGTGTAGAGAGAACGATAAGATTAGTGATGAACCAGGAAACATCGGTGATTCTACAGTGGAGCAAGCAGTAGGACGGGAAAACAATATATGTATGTATACTATATATGCATAAGAATCATTAGGGTCACAATTCTATGATTTGTAGTTGTTTATGATAACCTAAAACATTGTGATTTGGCCCTGTATAGAATACAATAATATTGGCGTTTTATTTAGGTATTCTAAAATGCAATACAAGACCAGCCATTCAAATGTTTTACGTGTAAGATGGTCCAATTAATGTATGTTAAAACACAAGTAGTCTTTAAATTGAAAAACGTTTGAATAAACGTATGTTTTCTACGTTTTTTCTTTTCCTTTCAGATACAATATATGGATATAGAATCACGAAAATTGTATTTCTTGCATCATTTTTATATATATGGTTTTTGATTCGGTTTGAAAGGTTTAAACAAACCTGATGCCACAATATAGTGAATGGGCTTCAAAGAGAATAGCGAATTGGGTTTTTATAATTGGGCTAGTGATGCTTAGATTACCGATGATGCCTTTACTCACTCAACGCACTGTACAAAGTACAAACAAATGTGTTGGACGTTTTCTGGAAAACAGAAAACTTAACTACACTTAAAATTGTTGTAGTCTAAACATTCAATCTGAAATACCTCACTTAAAACTCATTACCTATAATTTAGAATGTTAATTATTTCTCTCGTTTAAAATATTCATTTAAGCTAACCACATATTATAACTAGCAGGATGATTCAAATTCTGCTCTTACAAACATTTTTAAAACTATAAATTGGTTTGCGTTGTAGTTTTAGATATTAGTAAGCAACAAGTTATCATGTAATTTAAATTGATTGTATATCATCGAGTAATTTTTAGATTTGTTGTTTACCCAAAGAAAAGAAAGAAAAAACAACTTTAGATCGGTTGCATGTTGAAAATTAACATTTACTATCTTATTACGACGGTTAATTTAGAGTCATTTCTCCATATATCTGCGTAGAAAATTAACATTCAAATGTACTTGGAGTGTCTTTATTTACTGTTCAGTTTGTGGTTCGTAATTATTTAAATATATTTTTTGGTGAAAAGACAATTAGTACTTTTCTCAATTATTTAAATATATTAACAAACGTTCATAAACTTGTTAATTATATTCGGGTAAGATTAAATAATTAACGGTGCACATAATTTCAGTACATTGTTACTAAAACTAAAGTGTTAAAACCAAAAAGGGGATGAACCTCCCAGCCGGTCACAGCGACAACTGCAGAATAATTATGCAATTCGCTTCATTCGATACATTATAAAAGTATGTATATTATCTGCAATAATATATTGAGTAAATCAATCCATAGTGGTCAAACGACTGAAGTTTTTAACATATAAACTAGGTCTGAAAATATTCATGGTTGACAATTATAAAACATTCACTACAGGAAAACATTATTTTTTTAACAAAATTTTCAAAAACAATGTTTTCCAACGAATTTCCGAAAAAACAAAAAATTTCAAAATTTAGGTTTTTAAAAAATATAAATTTATTAGAATTTTCTCAGAATTTTTTGATAAAAATTATTTTTTCTTAAAAAAAAATTGGAAAAATTCTTTATAAAATTGTCAAGAATTTTTCAGAATTTTTTTTTTAGAAAAGGAAAAAAAAAAAATATTTTCGATAACAATTCCGATTAAATTGTTTTCTAGAATTTTTCAAATAGTTTCAAAAAACATTTCTGAAAAATGTCCACAAATTAATCAATCTCAGACCAATTTGGTTATAATATTGTATATGAATTAATTACACTAAATATATATACACTCTGCAGTACTATAAAATTACTAATAGGCAATAAGGGACATATCTACGTCTTATATATATATATATATATATATAGTTAAACAAGGAATAAATTATCTATTATTTAATAGAAAAATCAACAAGGGGGTATGTGTAGTGAAAAGAAAGAGATAATAATATGGCAACCGGACAAAGTAACTCAGATATTCCCCACTAATTATCAGATACAAGCCAAAACCAAAACCAAATGAATAAAAAAACAAAAACTGCAAATTTTCAGGAGTATATGCGAGAATAATAGACATATGAATGAACTTTCTTTAATACACATATAATTGAATAATGGTGGTTCTCGAAATGTTTGGATTTAAAATTTTCATATACATAGTAATAAAAGAAAAGGTGAATTATATTCAAGATTGAGACTTGAGAGAAATAGAAAGAGAGGAAGAAAATAAACAGGAATGAGAAATGAGAAAGCAAGCATTATAAGAAGTAATCGAGGCAAGGAGAAAGAGTACTAAAAGCTTTTAAAAAAAGGAGCAGCACTCTTGCCAAGGCCAACGTCTCTGCCATCCATACTCTCTTGTATTCTCTTCTTCTCTTATTCTTTACTATTATATTACCTTTTGTAATATACTTTTATGTATTAATTTAGAGAAGCATTATTACAATAGTTTTGTTCTTGTACAAGTCCAACAAATCTTTTCATGTCATAATTGGTGTAACATACATCTATGCATTCGCTCATGCGACTGATATTGTCATGGCAAACAAAAACCACATTCGAAGTTTTCATAATTGAACCAGATCAGATTTACTAGATAAACTAATAATCACTGCTAAGTGCTAACTATACGTTATTGAATTCAATTGATGATGTCGAACAGAAAAAAAAAAATTTCTCAAAAAAGAAAAATAAACAATAAAATAAAATAGTAAATGATAATAATATAATCGTTACAAAAAAAAACAAAATAGAGAACAATATATAAATAAATTGATCAAATCGTTTCAACAACCCTAATTTTTACCTTTTTATAATTGCTAGCCAGATTATTCGTACACAGTTTACCACATTACAGTAATTAGCAATCACATTCAGTTAAACCCTTTATCAAAACAAAAACAAAAACATGCATGCCCTCCGATTAATTCATTTGTGTATTTTTTATTTATTTGTGCTATTGAATAATCATTAAATTTATCACTCCATTTGTGGTAGCATGGTCACAATCAGACCATATTTATATTTTATAAGCATATATGATATGAATGTTTTAATTACCACTCCAAAATTATAGGAGGATTATGGAGGGATAAATGATCGTAAGTAAAACCCTTTCTCAAAAAAAGAAAAAAAAAATGATCGTAAGTGTTATAAATACTTAAAATGTGAATCCTAACACTCTTTAGGTTGAAGGAAGGGAAACATGAGTCACACATATCCCGAAAAGGTAAATTAACCTTAGAGATCCCTCCAGACAAACTAATCCTCTGGGACACTTGTTCTTCACGAAGTTATATATCCTAATAAATGCACACACACAAAAAAAAACTCAAGAGATTATACATTCCGTCATTTACTTTATTTTATTAGTTAAAAGTAAATTTCAAAAGAAAAAAAAAAGCAACCCCCTCGTGAAGATCTCAGTCCAATCTTTTTGTTCCATGTAAAAGGTAATCAAAAACTTAGTTATTGTGCTTTTCTGCCCAATGGAAAAATTCTAATTAAATTTTAAAATTTTCGTCTCTATTTGATAGATAAATGACACTTTGTCACACTCACACACACACCTCCCTCTCTCTCTCTCTCACAAAATTTGATCTTTCGCCAATGGAGAAAAGATTTGATCTTTCTGGGAACATTTCGTTTTCTCGATAAAAGACATTCTCTCTCTCACTTTCTCTCTCTATACGTAGCGACAATAATTCTGAAATCTCCTCTATACATAACAAAAACCCATATATATACATATACACACACACATATACAAAACAATCCACACATTATATAAATTACACTCTTCTTCACACTCTCCAAACTAAAAAATATAACCCCCAGCTCCAAAACCTCTCACGCAATCAAAATCAAAAATCAAAATCTCTTAGGGTTTTTTCTTCTTCTTCTTCCAGGGAATAGGGTTTCTCAAATTGAGGAAGTTTCAGTATTGAAAATACTAAAATTGAGAAACTTTTCCATCTGGGTCTTGACTAAATTAAAACTTGAAAAATGGTGAGAGAAGGTCATGAGGAGGAAGAGGAGGAGATGATGATGATGGTGGCTGCAAAACCTGCATGGCTTGAAGGATTAATGGCGGAAACTTTCTTCTCGAGCTGTGGGATCCACGAGAGTCGCCGTAAAAGCGAGAAGAACGTCTTTTGCTTGCTCTGTTGTCTCAGTGTTTGTCCTCACTGTCTCCCTTCACATCGCTCTCACCCTCTTCTTCAGGTACATCCATCACTAAACCCACAACACACAACAACTCACCGAATTCACTTTAATTTTGCTCACTGGTAAGAGAATTGTCCCATGACGCAGTGATTCCATATGGCGAATTTCTGAAATTGATTCTTTTCACTTTTTCTTTTTTTTTTCTTTTGGTTTGTTTCGTCGTCAAATTGTTTGAATTGTGGTGATCTTTTGGGAGAATTTTGGATGACCCATGATTTGATTCCGTGAGGATTTCAATACCCAGGTTTTTGATTTTTGATTTTCGTTGCGATTTCTTATTATTGCGGTCGAATCTTTACTTACACATACAAACAGCAATAACACTGTGTGTACGTATGTTTCTTGTCACTCGATTTCTCGAAGAAAATTCTATCTCACATAAGAGATTTTTTTGGATTGTAGCGAAATCTCTACTTACATCCTTTATATATAAAAAATCACACAACGTTAGCAAATTATCAAATTTAAGCATAACCCAAGAAATTTTTTAAAACCCTTGTTTTTTTGTTTTTTCTTGGTAAATTTTTTAGCTTTTGTTTCCCTATAATTATTATTAACTTCAATTCACATGCATATACTTCTGCTTTAATTTTGTGTCTCCAACATCTTTTCAGATTTTTAAATGCAAATTTTGGAGCTTTTGGAAATTGTACTACTGTGAGAACTTTTTTTATTTATTTTTAAATGGACCTTTCATTATCATAAACTTTTTCTTCTCCCCAAAAAAATATTTCTTGTATAATCTTCATCTTCTAGAAAGAGCCTTTAAATCATCTTCCTGAATTTCTCTAAATTTAATTGAATTGCTCTAAATATATGATCATTTCACTAATTATGTTGAGAATTGTAGAAATTTGAAGGCAACATCCAGTATATAGATTCACATGTATTGATATCATGTATGTATATATCATTGATAGTATTGGACTTGAATTGTCTATTGTTTGGATTTGGTTTGTTTCTATATATAGTATGTATCTTTTTCTCATCTTATATTTATTCTTTCTCTCTTCAAATTTGCTTGGTTCCTTTAAATTTATTGTCTTCTCTGCTCAACTCCTCTTGAGCTGTTGCTTTCAAAGAACATCAAAGCTTTGACCAAATTCCTTTTCCTTCACTTCCATTTACTTCTTTCCACAGTTTTTGTTTTTATTATTATATAATATATATATATATATATATCTCATTTCCACTGTTCCCCAAAAACATTATTGATGCAAATCCAATCTCTCTGAAAATAAGATTTAGGAAATAAATTGTTTTTGAAGCAATTATGAATGTTATCTCATTAGTTTGTATTCTGTCAATAAAATCCTTTGGTTTATGAATTGGCAGGTGAGACGATATGTATACCACGACGTCGTTCGGCTGAGTGATCTTGAAAAGCTCATAGATTGTTCATATATTCAGGTGAATCATATACCCTTTTGCAGCTTTTGATTAATTTTTTTTTTGTTACTGATTAGAAAAATATGTATATTCAGCCATATACAATTAATGGAGCCAAAGTGATATTCATAAACCAGAGACCACAGTCAAGAGCTAAGGTCTCTTCAAATGTTTGCTTCACTTGTGATAGAATCCTCCAAGAACCATTCCACTTTTGTTCCCTCTCTTGCAAGGTAATTTACTAATATATCTTCCTTGCTCGTGAAAAAATATGGAAAATTATTAATGCAAGTTGTTGACATAGTTGACCGATGAATGACAAAGTGAGACCCATTGATTCATGAGATTCACTTGTTTATTGGTTTTATTTCTGCTAGTAAAATTAAAAATAATAGTATTAGAATAGAATGATTGCTTCAACTTTTAACCATATGACATAAAGGTTTTTTAAAAAACACATCATTTCTCTAAAGATGAAAAAAAAACAAAACTTTGGAAAACAGCTGTTTTTTCATTCTTTATGATAATAATCATATTTTTGTATTTTCCTTGGATTATGTGTTACATTTGTTTAATCTTCTTTAACACATGTGAAAGTACAAAGTGAGCACTTTCCTAGGTTATGAACTATCATGTCCAATATTAGCCATCTCTGTTAGTATATAAGATACAAATAATGTTATATTAATGATTCAACTTTTAAAATATAATATTTGTGTAGGTGGATTACCTAGTATATCAAGGAGATGATTTATCAAGCATTCTCTATAGAATTGATGAATCGGATTTCACGTTTTCAAGTTTGAGAATGGACGGACACGATCAGATTGGAGATATATCGACAATGGAGGATGATAATGAGGATATAATGGTGATATCAGATCAATCGGAGCAAGGTAACAATAGTAATTTAAAAGAGAAGAGGAAGAAGAAAAAGAAGAAAGATAGCAATTACTTGCCTGGGATGGTTCTTTCACTTGGTAGCAGAAGAAAAGGTGCTCCTCATAGAGCTCCTTTTTCATAATTAAAGATGATAAAATCATAGGCAAAATTTTATGTATTTGAAAAAAAATAAGCATACTATATATATGTGTGTGTGTGTCGTGTTTCTTTTATTAGGTATATCTTGTAACGAGTACGGTAAAATAATTAGTACTGTTTTATCACAAAATGTGTTTGCTTTTAAGCCTTGTCATGTGTTCTTTAGAGTATTTATTTCCCACCCTTTTCTTTTGTGGTAATGTGAATTGTGAAATCGGTTTTTACTTTTTATTTGTTGATAAATTATTGGTCTCCTGGTGAATAAAACTGTGTATATCATCATCATCATTTGATACTTTATAAAAGTATGTACAGTAATTAAACATGGAGTATTAAAAAGTGGACTCGTAGTTTGGGTAATTTTCATTGGGAGATGGAAGAGACGACGACAGGTATTCACGGGGACAGCTGAAAAGTCTCAGCTGCGTCATGAATTACACACCAAGACCGTTTTTGTCTACTTTACCATTTATTCAATTTTTGTTTGCTATATATATACATATATGTTCTTTTCCAACCACAAATTGAATTTATATCTTTTGTTAACTTAAAAAATGTTCTGCGCAAAAACATCTTTTCATTTTTATGTTTTTTTACAATATTAACTTTCATCTCAAAAAAAAATATTCGTTAATTTCAAAAGTTATCTACAGTATAACTCATCCATCAATGAAACGTTATATCGATAACGTTAGTAGTTAGTTTTCTACAAAAAGGATAAAAGTCGTTCATCCGCTGGCTTTTCTGATACGCATGTGCCATTTCTTTCGAAAAACTGATTAGTTTGGATTACACATAGATATAGATATAGATATAGAAAAGTTAATCATCTAGTTGATGGATTAATAAATTATGCATTTATTTTAGAGTTAGGTATTCATTTATTTAATTCTTGCCTTAACATAATTAATTTAATTATGTTAGAGAATGCTAATGGGAAAAAAATCTCACATTATATTTTTTTGTAATTCAGCTTAGTCGAATAAATAAAGTATTGGAGATAATTGTTTCTGACAAAAAAAACGTTATATCGATGATGTTTTTAGTCATTTTGATTTTACAAACACTTTGCCGTTTAACAATTTTAGTTATTTTCTATTAAAATTAAAAAAAAATTTGTTTTTTTTCTTCTCGCCTCTTCTATCCCTCGTGTGGATCCGATACAGCAAGTCGCATCATTTTGGTAACCTATAACCATAACGACATGAAGGTAATTAATCAAAGAAACCATGGCTCGTATCATGTCTTAAGAGACGATAGCTTGGAAAAATTAACACTTTATTTCTAATTTTTATTTTACTTTTAACCACCACCACTTCTCTTTTGTAGTTTTTGATCGTATTATATTTTACGATGCAACTAAAATAACATTTGTTTCGTATTAATTCTACGGACACACGTCGAAACCACCAAGTAATACAAATAAAAAATAGGAGCTACGAGTTTAGTTAATTAATACTAGTACAAGTGTACAACCAATTACGGCATTGGGGAACCTGTCTCTGTATCGACGCTTACGTTAGCCTCTGGCAGCTTCGTGATTTTGCATTAGTGTGTGTACTATATAGAATCTACCGAACAAACGCTACCATGCGCTTTACCTTCCCATTACTATAGCGTAACTAGTACTACTACCTAGTACCACTACTTTTTAATATGTATTCTCGATAATTAGCTAGTTGTAGTAATATAGTACTATTACAATAAAATCGAATGAAATTCTAATAGGATGACATCAAGAAACTATACGATTCTAATAGGACGCCAAGACTACAATTTTACGGCAGTGGAAACAGTACGATCATCTAATAGAATGAAATTCTGATAGGATGAAATCAAGAAACCATAAGTCTATAACCCAAAGTAGCAGTGTTTTTCCACGCATTTTCGTGTCCATGAAGTTTTTTTTTTGTTATGCATTAATACAACCTGATTGAGTATTAATTATTACGTGGACATAAATTATTTATTGTTCATAGAAATAAATCTATTCTTGGCAAGCACTAATTTTTCCATACAAAATCTAGCCTTAACTAGTTAATTATTATTATTCATTCCATTTTATATTACTTGTATTTTTAATTATTTTACACAAATTAAAAAGAATTTAATTTTCTGTTTTAGTATTAATTAATATTCTCTATATTCCTTAAAGAATAATCTTTTAAAATTTCCATACTTATTCAGAAAATCATAAATTGATATTTTTACCCTTTATTTTTTTATTGATATAAAAATAAAATTAGAAAAATTAAAAAAGAGAGTAGTAGTAAAATAGAAAATATTTAATAAAAGTTATCTTGAAAACTGTTTTTTTTCTTTTTAAATAGATTTTTTTTTCTCTAAAAGATCCTCCTTATCGAAACAAAGAAAGTATACTATTTTGTTTAATATAAATAATTAATAAACTAAACAGAAAATATTTTTTTAATTATATATAATGAAAATATAAAACAACAAATAATATAAAATAAAATTTTATCTTTAAAACGACAAGTAATATAAAATAAAGAGATAGAGCATTTAATATTCTTAATTTTTCATTATTTTGTTTGTTTTAATTTATTTGATATTAAAAAAAACGTTTTTATATAGTTTATATTCTGCAATATTGGTTGATTTATGTTCACTTAGATACTTAAACAGTTCTTTAATGCAAAGGAGCAAAAATATAAACTTTATATATTCCTTGAATTTTGTGATATTAAATAAACTTTTATAGTATAATAGACAGAGTAGCTAAGGTTTGACCGGAAGAAAAAAAGACAGAGTATAATTTCAGCAAGGTTTTATTTTTTAATTATGATCTAGTTGGTTGTAGCCGCTAATTAATAATAACAATTTTTACTGGCTGTAGGTTTTCAGAATCCAATTAATGGTTTTAAAATGTTTATATAATGATTTATTATAATTAAAATGTAGCTATATTAGTTTGTTTGATTTGCAATTTTATCATAGGATCCGTTCATCGGGAGTTAAACCCACCTCATGGTCGGGGAATTTTATTAATTATTTTAAATAAACAATTGTGGGTTATAAAAACATTTCACAGGACAATTATGAAAGCAAATTGAACCTATTTTATAATGACTGATAATATCAGTATCTTTCTTACACCATAAAATTCCAAACCGGCTATAAAATTGTTCCCGACAAAATAAAACTCATAAAATATACGGTAAACCTATTCTTGCTGCAGTCATTAAATTGTTCTCCTATACTTCGTTTCATTTTGATCATTTTAGTAGGATATATATATATATATATATATATATAACAGATATTCACAGAAATAACTTTTCTTAAATAGAAAAATCAGTTAGAAAAGGTAACTTTTCTACAGTAAGCTTTTCTACAAGAAATACATAAATTAGTGGGAAAAATACCTCTTTCCATTCTTTGAAATTTGATTTTTTAGGTTTTTCACAAGTTTTTAAAAAAGCAATCATAATTTATCTTTCCAATTCATTAATTACTTTTTATTTTAATATTTTATATTAATTATGTTAATATATATTTTCTTTTCTTGAAAATATAATGTTTTTGAAAAACAAATTAAAAATTTTGGAACAAGAAAGCTTAAATCATCAGTCCATGTGAAATGGAGAGAGTATTTGACAGTACTACTGTCAAGTATATAAAACTATTATAAAAAAACTAAGCAACTGATCGTTTGAGATGAAACAGACTGTTAAAACAATTCGAAAATAATAGTGAAATATATACTATGACAGATTAAAAGAAATAAACAATTTTGGTGCTTTAAAGTGATTGGTTGGCATCTAATCTACCAGAGATTACCACCAAATCTTTAGAGCATGCCCAGTAATAAAATATGGTAGAGAATATCTCACAAATATATTTCTAATATTTTTAATGGTAATTTTCGTAATTATACTGAAAATAAGTTTTCAGAACATATATAACACGGAAGCTAAAATGTTTCTACCTCTAACATTTTTTATTTGAGTTTTCGGATTTTATCTTTTAGGAAAGTCTTCTTAAATATTTTTTCTGTTAATGTTTCGTATTTTTTTAAGAAAACTTTCAAAATACTAGTTTTTAACATCGTTTCATATGATTTAAAAAAGTTTTTCTAAATTTTTTTAAAAATTCTGAATTATGGAAGACTTCTTGAATTGTGAAAATGTTTCCTGAATTGGAGAAAGACTTCCTCGAAGAATTTTCTGAATTTGAATTGTATAAATTACCAACAAAAAAATTAGTTTTACGATTTACGAAAGCATTCCTAAATACATGTAATGACTTTCTTAATTTGTATATTTCACGAAAGTCTTTCTAAAATTTTAGAATATCTTCCTAAATTTACGTTCATCTCCGTCCTCACATCTGCGACATCCAAACCCTAATTTCTGTCGATTTATTTGTTTTAACAATTATTATTGTTATAGCTTGGATTTCTTGAGCTTTTCACCCAATTATATCATATCTATCTTTCACTATGTGATTTTGAGCTTTAAATTCCAAAATCAATTTCCCATGAAGAAAACTCCAAAAATCTAAGAGATTCACAACCACAAATCACAATTAAATGTGAAGAGTGATCATAAACAAAACAAATGATTCGAATTTCAGATCAGTTTTGGTCATTGATACTTTTTTTGTATGTTATTTTTCTTTTCTATTTATTAACTAATATTTTGTCTAACTAAGATTAATATAATCAAGTTTTAAGTGAAAAATGTTATGAAAGTAATTTTTTAGAGAGTTAGTGTATATTAGGAACAAAAACTTAGATTATGTGCATTTGAAGGAATTTATCTATTTTTAATATTATTTAATTAAATAATTTAATTTTAAGCTACAAAAAATTAATTAAATAATGATATGTTATAGAAAATGTTTTTATTTTTTTTGCTGAATCGTTTAAACTAAAACTATATCTGTTTTGCTTTTTTTTTGTTTTTCTCATGTCTAAATATTTATTAGATACTGATAGAATTGTTTTTAGAGCAACTCTAG